TCTTGTTGGAAGATCCACAAAAACAAATATTACATTGAGTTAAAACTGTATAGCTGAAATAGAATAATGAATGGATACAGCAAGCCTCATCGTAGCCCTCGGGTAAAAGAAAAAATATTGATTTCCATAGCTCTCTGTGGGAAAACTGACACTAAACAGCACCCCAATGATTATTTTTCTATCAATATTGTTCTATGCTAATAGGTACTGAGTTGCTGTAACTTTGAGATCATAAAATACTTATCTAATGGATCTTTGTTGAAAATTATTGATGTAAATATCTAAACAATGTTGATTTTCATCAGTTCAGGTGAGTTATATGGAAACTCATCTCAAAGTACCAAATTCCCGAATTCAGGTTCTGTTTTGTGGAGTTTTCTAAGGAAGCCCAGTTGATTGTGTCAGTTTCTTTTGCAGTAATCCTTTCTCCTGAATTAGCATGTAGCACAAGCAGAGTATATATCCACCTGAGTCGTTGACTTTGCAGCAGTCCCTACACACAGATCTGTAGATCTGTCATCCGGAGAGAGCAATTATAAACGTTTTTTCAGGAACTGCTGATGCGTCACATCCCAAGCAAGGTGTTGCAGCCGAATACAAAAACATTGGATCTGCTGTAGCATCTATGTAGAGAAGTTAGTGGCAACACCAACTGCAGATTGTGCATAATTGGAGTAGGGGGAGAACGCAGCAAAGTGGTCAGTACGACCTCCAGCAGCATAACTGCAGAGATAGCTATGGATGACACTCCAATGAAGGGCGTCTGCCTCACAGACATTTAAAATGTTGCCTAAAGATTCAACATGTATTTTGGTTTTTCAGAATTATGGTGGCACATTTTTTCCTTTCCTCCCCTGATGGTTGCTTTGCTCTGCATTTTTGCACTGTTTCAGGTTGGTACAATCGACTCTACATAAACTTCATCCTAAGGAGGCACATTTTCTTCTTCATGCTCCAGACATACTTTCCGACCATGCTGATGGTGATGCTGTCATGGGTGTCTTTCTGGATAGATAGGAGAGCCGTACCTGCTCGTGTCTCATTGGGTAAAGAGAAAACGTAGAACCACAATCTATGGAAAAACACCTTTTGCAAAGATCAGTTAAATTCACAAAGGAAAACACTTTTCTTGTGATTTAATGTAAAGAAGAGGAGGGAAACAGAAGGTTGATTTGTATATTGACTAGCCCCTTCTGATGGTTTTTAGTGTTTTCTTGCATATTTTATCTCTGCTTTATTGTAAACCACTCCGACCGGGTTGGTCATTAGGACAAACAATCACAGGGTAGCAACTCAATGCATTTGGCAATTTAGATGTTGAAGATGATAAAGACAACTTGATGAAATTCAAACTGGGAATGAGAAGGGTTCTGGAAGGAGATTTAAGTAACTTTAACATCCTTGTTGGTGCCAGAAACTGTCTGTTTACTTAGATTTTAATGCACCACAACTTATTGAGTTTCCAAAACAGCAAAATATCCACAGAGCCGTACTAATATGAATGAAATGACCTAAGTAATGATTCAGTATTAATTAATTACAATTTTTACTTAAAAGCGTTGATAGTTTCAAAATGCAACCTATTGGGTTTCAGTTGCACATGCACATATGAAGTTGTACATATAATCCATAAATATTTTTCTTTTTTGCACACTCATGTTATTTCTGTCTTAACACGTGTGTGTGCGTGTGTTTGTGTGTGTATGCGTGTGCGTGTGTTTGTGTGTGTATGCGTGTGTGTGTGCAGGCATCACCACTGTTTTAACCATGTCCACCATCATCACTGGTGTCTCTGCCTCTATGCCACAAGTGTCTTACGTCAAAGCCGTAGACATCTACTTGTGGGCAAGCTTCCTGTTCGTCTTTTTGTCCGTCATCGAATACGCCGCCGTCAACTATTTCACCACGGTGGAGGAGATGAAGAAGCTGAAGAATGCTAAGGTCCCATTCAATTTTCAGTTCTCCCATCGCGTCTTCTCAAAACTTTTGTAATTATTTTGATCCTCGTGTCGTTCGCTCTGGTTTCCTTTCACTGCAGATCCCCAGTAACTTCGATACCACCCAAGCCATGGCCTTTGATGGGTGTTTCCACGACAACGACATTGACCTGGCTTCTTTCCCAGAGGTCTCCATCACCCCGAACACAGACAGAAACACCCAGTCTCGAAATTCCACCGTTTCTGCACCCACAGAGGGAACCAGGCTCCGTCGCAGGAACACACTGAAATACAACCTGAGCTTCATCAGGAGCAACAGCTACATGATCGACTCGTACTCTAGAGTCATCTTCCCCATGGCTTATCTGCTCTTCAACATCATTTACTGGAGTTTATATGCTTAGGACGTTTGTTAAAAAGACTTATTAAGTACCATAAATGCTGGTCTATCCTGCCATGATGACTTTTTGTTTGCACAGTGTTTGATGCTGAGCATTAATATCTTTTATGATGTCTCAAATTCAAAAAGCCGAGATCAGCTGTTGCAGCAAATTCAGTGCCGACCTTGTATATTGGTATCCTTCACAAAGGTGTGTAAAAAACCGTAAAGTAAATCTTATATTGCAGAAAATAAGTCAGACTGACACTTTTAGAAAAATGTAGCTTTTAATTCAATTAAAAACTGATCGATTGAAATCCGCTGCGTTATTTCAAGATTCCTTACAAATCCTTACCTAGGGTGCCAGGGAATTTGTCTGCATCTGTAGCCGCAACTTTCCGAATGTTCATATGTGTCTTCAAAAAGCGTGAATTGGAAAAAAGTCTTAACCATTTCTATTTCTTTTTTTTTGTTGCTGTTGTTGTTGTTGTTGTGGTTGTGTTTTATTTCCGAGAATAATTTGGCATGAGGCAATTTTCTTTTCTATTTTTATGTGTTCTGACTTGTAATGTATAAAGAAGATGGTTGCCTGCGTGTGCCAAGGCGGGGCAGTTTTGCTCTACAAAAAGGACATCTCATCATAGTACCGTAAATATTTGACTGACTTCATTAAACCAAGACGATATTTGAAATTAGACAAGCCACTTCAGTGAAATGGGAACCTGTACAAAGCAATTTACAAATAAATCTACAGTTTTAAATACTGTATGTGTCAGGCTACTTTCTGGCCGATCGTTTACTCTTACTCTTTACTCTTCTTTATATAAAATAGTTATGACCAAAAAGACAAAAGCAGTGTTTCAACATTACTTGGAACTTAGCTGTGTGCTAAACGCAATGTCATCTTTGTCGATGGCTTTCCTGGAAACACTTCTGGTGATTTTTTTCTCAACCTCATTGTACTCCCATGTCCATCACAGGTCAGAACAGACCCATACAACCACACATACATGCCTAAGGACAGTTTTAGAGCAACTTTTTTGGAATGTGGGAGGACGCTGGAGTACCCAAAAGAACCTGCTGTCTAAACAACGAAAACCTTTTTGCTACAGGCAGCAAGTAAAGAAAGGCATATCTACACCACCACCAGTTGTCGCAGTTGTACCTATAAAGGTGGGTTGTGCAAAAAAACTGTGAAAAGATCCAAAACACTCACAATAACAGACAGACAGATGGGGCTTTTCAGATGGATTCAAAACCGGAGCTTAAAGGTATTACTGCGTGTTGACAGGTTGTCCTGCAAATAAAAGCATGGATTAAATGGAAAATAAAACCAGAGTCCTGAGAAACAGGCATTACAAAACCAGTCTGGAACACTTGGTTGAATGCCAAAACACAATCTGGCGAAGGCTGAATCCCAAAAGCAGGTGAATGAGAGCATGAGCAGGTGAGCTCCTTTGGGACCTCTGGTGGACGGAAGCGGTGATGCAGGAAAAACAAGACGGCTCTGCTGCACTGCAAGAGCAAGGCTTATCTGGCATTTCGCAATATATTACAAAAACATGGAAATCTTTAGAGCTATCTTGAGGAAGTGAATTATGCTTTGGGTTACTAACCAGTTAAGCCACAAAGATAGCATGTTAAGTAGCTAAATAAATAGATAAATAATATAAGACAGGTTTTTGTTGTATTTAAAGCAAAATGGTGGAAAAAAAAAAAAAAAAACTCCAGAACTATTTCCACAAATCATTTATCCATCCATACTCTGTAGTTTATCAGACATCAGGTATTGGGAGGAAAAGATCTGGTAAACTGGGACTCTCCTCTGAGCTCCCCTCATTTTACAGACCTCTGCACCTTGTCTCTGACGGGAGCATTACTTCAGCTGCTTGTATCAGGAATTAATTTTTCCAGTCATGACTCACATCTCTGTGCTATAGGCCATTAGCAGTTCAAGTTGCATGTAAATTTAAAAACCTGGACCTGATCTGGACAACACTAATATTCTAAAAATATTTGTTCAACTCAACATGTATAGCTTACCTTACAATAAAAGACCTATTTATGTTTTCTTTTTACTGAACATGTCTATTAAACACACACAAACACAAACTCCCTGCTGCGCTGGGAAGGACGCCATGTACTACAATTTCCATTATCTTTGATTTATTGTATTTGTCAAAGAAGAAAAAGCATTGTTTCTGTATGACAATGTATGTGTGCTGTTTAACCACAATAAAACTGCCTAGCTTGATATGATTCTTTTATAGTTAATTTTGGAACCAATTGGAAATGTCCAAGTTCAGCTACTTTTGTAACACACCTTACACCAACCGCCTACGCTTCAGTGTGCTGCTTTGCTCAAGGATGTGTTAGTTTAAATGCAGCTCTACAAGCCACAAATATGAATCAATGTCATGTAAGTGATAATTCTGCAACACTGACGATCACCTGATTCATACCATGACAGACACAGCGGTCCCTGACATTTTCCTGCAGCACTAAATGTTTCAAAGCCAGGGCACTTTGAGGTCCGCATTGTTACCTTGGAGACGCCTTTTGTTTTACGCCTATCAAAGAGAACACTGAGAAGGTGAGGACACACCCTGAGGCACACCTTAAATGCCAAACAAAAATAGAAACGCAGGTCTCTTGCCTTTCAGAAACCCTTCAGGAAACCTGTTGGTGTACAATACATATTTCTGGTTTAGAGAGATCTAAGATCTGATGCACAAACAAGAAGTTCCTTTTAATACTTTCTTCATTGTTGAGTGACACACGCTTGAGCTAAAACGAATATAGCTGACGTCCACTTGCTGGGACTGACGTTTTGAAGGCGTGTCTGGATTCAGCATGAGAAAATCACAGTAGAGGAACACGCCGCCAGCAGCTGGAGTCGGGTCTGTTTCAGCCAGGAAAATGTTTGTGGTTAGCTTTGTGGTTTAGCTTTCCTTGGATTCTGCTGTGGGAAGTTATGTTCCATGGAAATGAAGACATTATGGGAGCTCCATCAGTTTATTTGGGCAGACTTTTTTCCCAGCACACATTGGGCTCTTCTGTCAGGTAAAAGTTCTGGTGGTGGTGGTGTACGCTTTTTGATTAGAACCAGCTCCTCTTAAGTCTAAATCATGCACTTATAAACATATAAGTAGTTTTTCAATACATCTTTTTGTGTTTTATGTACTGATACATGTCATTCAAAACAAGTACGTTAACACATATATCTTTCAAATGAGGTTACTAGCCAATGAACCCAAACCAAAAAAATAGACTTGATACTATGTTTAAAGATCTTCACAAGATCTCAGCCGTCATTCTGATTATCTAAGCAATCCACAAAAGACTGGAAAATTTGTTCAAAGTCTAGACATTAATATTTTATCTTGAATGTTGAATAATGTTCGTTATCCAGGCAGAAAGCCATAGCTCTTTGAGGATTCAAACTCGGTTCTGAGCTAATTTCAGTTCTTCTATCTGAGAAAAATGTCAACAGGTGACTTTACTGGGTTTAACATAGCTAAGATAATTGTATATTTTGAAAAGCAATAATTAGAATTTTAACAGAAATATAATGCCTTCATGCTCCATTTATTAGCTTCGTTCACAAAGCTTCACAAATGATTTCCCTTTCCAATTCTCAGCCAGATCGAATTGCTTGCAATAAAACTTACACAGCAAATGGAGGCATCAGATTTCAAGTAATCTTTACTTGGTTCACTGAAGAATAATAATACAGCTTCATAGCCTTCTGTGATGGAGTCTAATCTGAGCAACAGAGCACCATATTAATGGAAACTTCTGCACAATATAATATACAACAAACTCTGTTTGCTTTCCATCACTGATGTCCGTGTCAGGGTGTTTTTACTTTTTTTATTTTTGTCCCCGATACTAATCCACGACATCGGCCGATACTCAAAAGCCAACATCTTAAAGGAAGTTTTATCGGTAACATTTTTAAAAATCATATGTATAAAATTGTTTTAACCAAACCAGCATTAAAATATTTTTAAAAAGATATGATATGTTTCAAAATCAGGAAAATTAAGAGCAATTTAAACTTAGAAATTCTGAATTGGTTTATGCTTCTTAGTTTACATTAAAATGTAAAAAAAAATTGTTCCAAAATCAAATGTATTTTTAACAAAGTTGTAGTTTCTACATTTTTTTAGATGCCACCATGAAACATTTAGTAAGTGGTCTTTAAAGACTGTACTAATCTTTTCATTTGATAAAATACAAATTATTCATTTTAACTGACGTCTAATATGATTTAATTTAGCTAACAGGGAAAATTAGTTACTGTAGAAACTGCAGTTTTTCTACAGTGACCCACTGCTCCTGCTAGAAACAGTATAAGGAAATATTAAAGAACTGAACAACAAAGTCATTGAGTCCTCTTTCAAGATAAACATCGTAGATTAATTATGCTGTTCCAATCGTACTGTTATTTTCATCACTTTAAACACAGAGACATTTTTTCTTGGACTATAAAAGCGTTTAGCAAGTCAGTAGATTTTTGGTTCAAACATTTGAAACCATTTCCCCCACACTGTCTGATACTAAAGGAGACTAAACCATTCCTGTTTTAGGTTAGTAAGAAGAATTTCTGTTTCACAATAACAAAATAACAATAGAGACGTCTCTTTGATAGAATTTCAAATTCATGTGCTTTAATTTGGACGTGTATAGGACAGCTCAGATGACAGTGTGATGGCTTTATGAATTTAACGGGTTAACAACATTCAAATCAAACAGAATCACTCTGCGGATGTATTTTAGAGCGACACCTCTAAAATACAGATTCCTTGTATGGCATAATAAAATAAATCTGGCAACATTTCAGGAAGAGAACTTTAGGACCTCCACCAATCTGATTTATCCTTGAGTACAATTTCCAGATTCCCAATGGTGCCACATTAACCTGATCCCTCAGATATAAACACCATTGAGATTTCTAGCTTTTATACAGTTCTGGAAGGGTACGACGTGTTAGATGTTGGCCTAAGCTAATAATGGAGTGTTATTATCCATAGTAAAACGAGTCCTAGATCAACATGGACATAATTAATACTGTCATGAAGAAAGAAAATGATGTGGAAACATTAAGGCGACATCTAAAGACATTTAGAGGTTGAAGCTCAGGCATAAACGTTTCCAAACTGGTAATCACCACATGCGAAGTGCCAGATTAGTCACTAACAGTTTCTTCTTTGTACTGTGAGTATCATTGTAAAAGTTGAAAAAAAAAAAAAAAACCCAGACTGTGTGGACAAATTCAGGTGTGGTTGATCAATAAACTCATTTGCATGTCCCTTTAAGGGTGATATTAAAATTGTTCTGCAAAGGGGCAAATATACGAACGTCTGAGTTCAGTTTGTTTAATCATAGCACAAACTTGCAGACCCTGCAAACAGAAACAGGCGGTGTTTCTCACTACAAAGAAAAAACTCCCAAAATCTCAGTGCAACATGCAGCAAACATATAACAAATACTAAGAGGTGAATGTAGTGATATCAATCTTTTGATACCAGTATTTATGCTTCTACTTCTGACTGATATGGTTGAATAAGAGTGTTTGTTGTGTTACATAAGGCTTTTGAGTTTGCGTCTCATGCGGTATTGCTTCTTTGACAAAGATCAGACAGATTGATGAAATTTAAAGATAAGCTTGTCAGGGATTTTATTGTTGTTTGGTGTTTCTTGTCACGAAGAGATGTCTAGCTTTAATCAAAACTTTCCATTACATACGTACTAACTGTAAATTGTTTCACAGACTGAAGAAACCTGGTTCTTGTGTTACATATGCAATGTGGCTGAAGATACATCTACTTATTGTCCTCCTATCAGGTGAGCTCTGACATCACCCGCAGTCTGACTGAAGACTTGAACAAAGGTTATTGGCAAACAAAGTGACAGAGCATTGAATCCACCTCCACTAATAACCGACCATGTCTGCATTCCTTGTAGTTCATCATACCTGAGTCTTAAATTCCTTTCCTTTCATACTGTAACCTGTTTATCAACACTGATTCCAGGCTGACTCAAAGAATATCTCAACACCTCTGGACTGCAGCCTGTTATCTTGCAATTTTTGAAGCAGTCGTTGCGTGACTTTTCTTGATCAGAAAGTTTCTTCCTCTGACTGTGACTAAGACTGAGGCTATGCTGTAATATTTCTTAGTGATTGGTGTGATGTAACTCTTTAATACGGCTCCATTTAGGGCAAACAGACAAGGTGTGAATGACTGGTGCCCGAATGTCTCATTGGAAAAACCCAACCAGACTAACTCAAAAGATACAACTAACTCCTTACTGTTTTATTTCTCTAATCAGGTCAAGCTTTTGGTCAACTAACCTCCACTGCTCCCTCCAGCATCGCCACACCAACAACAGCTCCACAAACCTCAGGTAAATAAAACGCTACGGCTTGTACAACCTAAAATCAGAAATCAGACAGAACTGAAAACAACAGTGCTGAAGACAAAACAAGGATAATTGGAATTACCATCACTTTTACAATGCAAACTTTAAATTCCCACAATATTTCTTTATACCTCTATTGATTCATATTTACGGACAGAATGATGGAGAAAATAAAGATGCAGCATATTAAACAACAAATTAAACTGTCATATTAAGACAACTTAATACAGAGGACAAAGATCACAAACTGAAAACAAAAATTAAATTAATAGTTTTTTATTCTTCAGCGGGTGAAACATCTGTTGTTCCAAGCTCCCAAGCTGCTTCCTCTACTTTTCACACTTCTACAACTACAGCAGGTAAATTAAACTCCTCAGCAAAAATATGACGCAGCTGTAATACATGTAGCTGTATAACAGAGAAACAAACCCAAAGGTGGGCAAGTGGTCAAATTATGTCATTGTAATACAAACACAGTGAATTATTTTATGAATCAAATTACTCAGATTACTTAAAAGATAACTCAGCAGTTGATCTTTGCAACAGCAATAATGTTTGAGGTTATCGTCTTGTATTTGAACATACATTTTAACAGATTTTCCATTTTTTCCAATCAGCTGAAGTTCCTGATAGTCAATCTTCTGCTGCTTCATCCATCACTCCTACTTCTGCAACCACCGCACAGACCCCAGGTAAACAAATGACAGATATATCTCACCAACAGTACAAATGTAGAAAAATATTTTACCCAAAGGGGTTTTGGGAAGGAACATCTCTTTTGGAATTTACTAATCAGCCATTACGAAATGGATTTTGACATTATTCTTCTAAATGTCATTTGACTTTTTTTTATAGTAGTGTTTTATTTCCTCGATGTCAACGTGGATGTCACTGGACCGAGTAAGAATGAATCCGACATCATTGCCTGGGTACGTAAGGAAAATAATTGGAGGCCAAAATCCGATTATATTACCAGAATTTTGACATCTGAATCCTGTAAGTAAATGTGATCATGGTTATTTTCTTTCAGCTTGGCCAGGTTTTCCTAAATGAGCTGGGGCACTGCTTGTTTCCATACGCAGGAGCAACAACTACTGCACCCACATCTCAGCAAACTGCAAATGTGACAGAACAAGTGGCAACAACACAGACTTATAAATCAACAACAGCATTTTATACTTTACCGCAAAACTATAGTTCAACGGTGTTACAGTTCAACATAACAACTACGGCTGCAACAACGATAAATGGCAACGACACAACGACAATGGAAGCAATGATAAATAGCAACATCACAACTACAGCTGCAACAGCAACACCAGTAACTGAAAATGTCACAACACCAGCTTCGGCAACAGTGTTACACGACAACGCAACAACCACAGTTGCAGCAACGACGACATTGAATGACAACAAAACAACAGCGACAACATCAAAGGCATCAATCAGCAACACAACAGTTACAGCAGAAGGAACCACAGCATTTGATGGCAACATAACATCAACAGCTGCATCAACTACCGCATCAAAAAGCAACATGACAACTACTGCTGCAGGAACTACAGCAGCACAAAGCAACATCACAACTACTGCTGCAGGAACTACTGCAACACAAAGCAACATGACAACTACTGCTGCAGGAACTACAGCAGCACAAAGCAACATGACAACTACTGCTGCAGGAACTACAGCAGTACAAAGCAACACTACAGCTGCTACTGCAACAACTACAGACCTAAGAAGCAACAGTCCAACAACTCCAACAACTACAGTGCTAAGAAGCAACACTCCTACCACAGTTACAACAACTACAGCGTCACAAAGCAACAGTCCAACAACTCCAACAACTACAGCGCTAAGAAGCAACGGTCCGGCAACTCCGACAACTCCAACAACTCCAACAACTACAGCGCTAAGAAGCAACGGTCCGACAACTCCAACAACTCCAACAACTCCAGCGCTAAGAAGCAACGGTCCAACAACTCCAACAACTACAGCGCTAAGAAGCAACGGTCCGACAACTCCAACAACTCCAACAACTCCAACAACTCCAGCGCTAAGAAGTAACGGTCCAACAACTCCAACAACTACAGCGCTAAGAAGCAACGGTCCGACAACTCCAACAACTCCAACAACTCCAGCGCTAAGAAGTAACGGTCCAACAACTCCAACAACTCCAGCGCTAAGAAGCAACGGTCCAA